GAGTTGGAAGTTTTATGTACTAACTGCAGAATTCCCATTTTTTTCTTGAAGAGTTAAAGGAGCTGGGGAAATATTGGGGTTTTGGATTCCCTGGAGATTGTTGAAATCCCAGCACATAGATTATTTTTCAGAGAAGTTGTATAGATTTTAAATGGAATTCATGTATTCGTCCCTGTACCTCAAATTCCAGTGGACTGAGACTTATTTGTAACAGCCTTTATAGTAAATTAACTCTAATCCTCCATTGCAAAAAATTTCCGCAGTATTTTATAATAGAAACTCACTTATGAAGTCTGGAAATTGGACATTTTAATTCCAATCCAGGATTCTTTTCTACAACAGTGCAAATGAATATTATTTACATAGATATTTTGTTTTGGGCCTGGTGCGATGACTCACGCCTGTAATCCCAGCATTTGGGTCCAAGGTGGGCGATCACCTGTGGTCAGGAGTTGGAGACCAGCCTGGCTAACATGGGGAAACCCCATCTCTACCAAAAAAAAAAGAAAAAAATACAAAAATTAGCACAGCATGGTGGCAGGCGCCTATAATCCCAGCTACTTGGGGGAGGCTGAGGCATGAGAATCGCTTAAACCTGGGAGGCGGAGGTTGCAGTGAGCCAAAATTGCGCCACTATACTTCAGCCTGGGAGATGGAGTGAGACTCTGTCTCAGATAAAAAAAGATAATTTTGTTTTGCCTTTCTCAGGTGTGGACACCTCAAGATCGCCAGTGTGTCCTGAGTACCTTAGCACAGTTGCTTTTGGATAAGGACTGTACTGTGCTGGTTGGTCGCCAGCTTCGCCCCCTCCTTTTGGATTTGCTGGAGAGGAATGCGGAAGCCATCAAAGCTGGAGGCCAAGTCAACCACGATCTGCATGAGCGGCTCTGTGTGTCGATGAGCAAACTCATTGGTAACCATCCTGATGTCCTCCTGTGAGTAGCAATTTTATTCACATTTCTCCTTGAGGTGGTAGAACCTGCTATCTCCTGGGAAGTAAGGGAATCTGAGCTGAGATGGGAAAAGGGAGATACAGAAAGGAGAGAGAGAAATAGTATTGTTTTATAAAAAGAGTCACAAAAGAATCCATTTATCCAGCCCAGTTCAGTGAGCATTTACTAGGTTTCTCTTAAATCTTGGCCATCAGAACAGACCTGGAAAGATGACCAGGATGTGTCCCCAGTGCTGTCAAGGATTATATCATGTGGCAAGATATTTGTATACAGCAGAGTAAATGAGATTTAATTGAAGTGCTTATAGCATCCACCTCTAATGGGAAAGATATTTTGCTTATTAGAGCTGCTGAAGGAGTGGATTTAGGAGAGCTATAGTGTCCCTTCCAACTTCTGTAAATCTATCTGAATTAGTGTAGCAAGAACTGTGTTAGAGCTGGGTTCTAATGTGACTTTTAAGTGATAGTAAAATATGGTTTGTGAGGAATAGTCCAAAGAGGCACCAAGACTGAGTGTTAGGTGTTTTTTTTTTTTGGAGACAGGAATCTTGCTCTGTTGCCCAGGCTGGAGTGCAGTGGCTCGATCTCTGCTCACCATGACCTCCGCCTCCCAGGTTCAAGCGATTCTCCTGCCTTAACTTCTGGGTAGCTGGGATTACAGGCGTGTACCACCGTGCCTGGCTAATTTTTGTATTTTTAGTAGACACGGGGTTTCACCATGTTTGCCAGGCTGGTCTCGAACTCCTCACCTCGTGATCTGTCCACCTCCACCTCCCAAATTGCTGGGATTACAGGCGTGAGCCACCGTGCCCAGCCTAATTTTTGTATTTATTGTCGAGGCGGGTCACCATGTTGTCCGGGTGGTCTTGAACTCCTGGCCTCAAGTGATCTGCTTGCTGTGACCTCCCAAAGCGCTGGGATTACAGGCGTGAGCTGCTGTGCCTGGCCTAATTTTTATATTTTTAGTGGAGACAGGGTTTCGCCATGTTGGCCAAGCTGGCCTTGAACTTTTTACCTCGGATGATCTGCCTCTTTGGCCTCCCAAAGTGCTGGGATTACAGGCATGAGCCTCTGCACCCAGCGATTATTTTCCCTTAATATTATGTCAGAATGTAACCTTATTTCTAAGTTTTACCTGTACTGACTTGATCAGAGCCTGCTGAGAATCATGTCTGTAGTACACAGAAGTATCCCAGACTAGTGAAGAAGAAACAGTTCCTTTTCCTCTACGTTTTCAGAATCCTTCACTTCTAATACCAGATGTGTGACTTTTTACCTATATCTGCCAATTCTCTGACACTGGTTTGGTATCCTACAATTCAGTTCAACTCTGAGACTGTCTTCCTGGAGTTAGTACAGACCCTACAGGTTAAGGATTCAGTCCCACGAGAGTATCCCTGCATGCCTCCTCTGCAAACCCCTCAGTAGACACCGGTCTCTTCTAGCTTCTGACCAAAAGGCTCTAAATCAGAGACTCCCTTGACTCCCTGTCTTCAGGTTTGAGTATTTGTTAGAATAGCTCACAGAACTCAGGAGAACAGTTTCTTTACCAGATGACAAGTGTATTAGAAAAGGATACAACTCAGGAAGAGCCATTTGGAAGAGATGCACAGGACAGGACATGGGGGAGGGGGATAGTAAGCATCTGTGCCCTCCCCAGCTGCAGCACCCTCTCAGCACCTCTATTTGTTTACCACCCTGAAAGCTCACAGAACCCCATTTTTTTTTTTTAAGATGGAGTCTCACTGTGTCACCTAGGCCAAAGTGCAGTAGCGCCATCTTGGCTCACTGCAGCCTCTGCCTCCCGGGTTCAAGCATTTCTTCTGCCTCAGCCTCCCAAGTAGCTGGGATTATAGGCACTTGCCACTACGCCCGGCTACTTTTTGTATATTTAGTAGAGATGGAGTTTCACCATGTTGGTCAGGCTGGTCTCGAACTCCTGACCTTGTGATCCACCCACGTTGGTCTCCCGAAGTGCTGGGATTACAGGCATGAGACACCGTGTCCGGCCTGTTTTTTTTTAAATGGATATTTCATTAGGAAGACATGATTGATCATATCATTGACCATTGGAGATCATCTTCGCCATCGTCCCCTTTCCTTCCTGGCAGTTGGGGGGTGGGCTGAAAGTTTCAAGTCTGTTATCACTTGGTTGGTTCTCCTGGCAACTAACCAGTGTCCCCCTCCTTAAGGACTTTCCCATTGTCACCTCATTAACATAAAACTCAGGTGTGATTGAAAGGGGGTTGAATAACAAAAGAATAGCTCTTACCACATCGGGAATTACAGTTGCTAGAGCTCTGTCCTGGAACCAGGTTGAAAACTAAACACATATTATCACAAATAAGTTTTTAACAAACTTAAAGTTTCATTAGAAGTGTACAAATATGTGTACACTTTTTCCCCATTGTGGTCGGAAAACACTTAAAATTGATCACCTTTACTATTTCTTTTTTTTCGAGACGAAGTTTTGCTCATTGCCCAGGATGGAGTGCAGTGGTGTGATCTTGGCTCACTGCAACTTCTGCCTCCCAGGTTCAAGCGATTCTCTTGCTTCAGCTTCCGAAGTAGCTGGGATGACAGGCATGCGCCACCACGCCTGGCTAATTTTGTATTTTTAGTGGAGGTTGGGGTTTTACCATGTTGGCCAGGCTGGTTTTGAACTCCTGACCTCAGGTGATCCACCCTCCTCGGCCTCCCAAAGCGCTGAGATGACAGACGTGAGCCACCATGTCTGGCCCAACTTTAGTGTTTATTTATTTATTTTTAAACCCTGCCCCTCCCTTCCCAACTTTACTATTTCTAAGTGTACAGTTTATTTGGATTGCATTTTAGATTAGTTTCTTGGTTTCAGTTTTTTTTTTTTTTTTTTTTTTTTTTTTTTTTTTTTTTTTTTTTGAGACAGAGTGTTCCTCTTTCTCTGTCACCCAGGCTGGAGTGCAAAAGCACAACCTTGGCTCACTGCAACCTCTGTCTCCTGGGCTCAAGCAATTCTCCTTCCTCAGCCTCCTGAGTAATTGGGATTACAGGCACGTGCCACCACACCTGGCTAATTTTTGTATTTTTTTTTTTAGTAGAGACGGGGTTTCACCATGTTGGCCAGGCTGGTCTCAAATGCCTGATCTCAAGTGATCCACCCACCTCAGCCTCCCAAAGTGCTGGGGCTACACACATGAGCCANGATTCTCCTGCCTCAGCCTCCCAAGCAGCTAGGACTGCAGGCACCAGCCACCCTACCACACCCAGCTAATTTTTTTTATTTTTAGTAGAGACGGAGTTTCGCCGTATTGGCCAGGCTGCTCTCAAACTCCTGACCTTGTGATCTGCCTGTCTTGGCCTCCCAAAGTGCTGGGATTACAGGCATGAGTCACCGTGCCTGGCCTGGTTTCAGAATTGCATCTGCTGCGAGTTTGTGCTGGGCATGGGGCTCCACATCAGTGCTGTCTGTCTTTTGATTGGTAAGAACTATAGTGGGTAGACACAGTCACAGCCTTTGTGAAGAACAGCAGATGGATTGCTGTGGTGGAGCATGCATTTCCTTTTCAAAGACATTGCACGTGTAAGGTAATTGTATGTATGTGGCCAGTTACACTGTCATACAACAGAATGAGGGACCAAAATAGTTCTACTCTTAACATTTTAGTTAAAAACTGTATCTAGAAATACCTTAAAGGTAACATCTTTTGTTTTTAGACTTTTCTTCCTCTCCAAGAACTACTTTACTTATTCTCTCTGTCCCTGTGAGGAAAATAATGTCCTTGTAGTATAATACCTATTTTTCCTTTTCTTCTTTTAATTCCAGAAGAAATAACATTCAATAGTACAGAATGGTAGGAAGCTAAAGGTCCTCTGCACCCTGAAATTGTACCCTCCAAAGATAGCTGGTATTAATATTTTTGTATGTTTTCTCCCAAATGTCTTTTCTCACTCTTGTACATATTAGAGAATACACACAAATACATTAATGTGCCCGTATTTAAAATATGGCTTTATTGAGATAGTTCATATATTATAAAAGTGTACAATTTAGTGGTTTTTAGTATTTTCATCAATATATGCAGTCATCACTACAGTCTATTTTTTGTTTATTTTTAGCATGTGCTAAATTATTTTCAAAAATTGTAACTCTTAGGCATTTTGTTATAAAAACTTGGTACTCATCCATAAACTAATACAAATTTAAAATTCATATATTTGCTTCTCTTTTTTTTTTTTTAAGCCAGTCAAATTTAGCAGTGGGGGGTGGTATCCCAACTTCAGTGACACTAATATTAATAAGTTCTGGTAACCCACTACCATCAGATCAGCCTACTTCACTTTTTAACCTGACTTTCTGGTAAATCTTTAGCTTCTCTGTTTTTGGCTGCCGTGTAAGGAGGTCCTCCTTTACTTGGATTGTTTAAGAGCATAATTCATCAATGAGCAACTCTTTCTTTTTCATTATTGGCAATAGGGCTTACACCTAGTAGTGATGCTGCTTTCTGTTTTGTCATTTTGAGTTCAAACCCGCCTCTGTAATAGCCACCACTGAAGGCAGATTTTGGTAGACTTTGAAAAATTTGTTTTCCTTGAGGCTCCATATGCTTCATAGCTTGCAAAGCATAACAGCCTACAAGTTCCATGGTAGCAAATCAGTCCAACTGCTGCCACTGTGCTGACCACCCCTCCAGCTGGGCTCCCTGCCTCCACCAGGAGCTTGGATCATCGCAGCCCAGAGGCTGCAGCCAACAACCACATACCTTTATCAGACAGCAGCAAAGCCACCGACTGCAGGAACAAAACCCACTACAGTGCATTTTTTGAACATTTGTACACAATTTTTTAAGGTAGATTTTTTTTTTTTTTTTGAGACGGAGTCTCCTCTGTTACCAGTCTGGGGTGCAGTGGCACCATCTGGCTCACTGCAACCTCTGCCTCCCGGGTTCAAGTGATTCTCCTGCCTCAGCTTCCCAAGTAGCTGGGATTCCAGGCGCATGCCACTATGTCTGGCTAATTTTTGTGTTTTTAGTAGAGGTGGGGTTTCACCATGTTGGTTAGGATGGTCTAAATCTCTTGACCTGCCTGCCTTGGCCTCCCAAAGTCCTGGGATTACAGGCATGAGCCAGTGTGTCTGGCCAGGACCACTGTGCCTGGCCAAAATTAAAAACAAACACCTAATGCATGCTAATTATTTTTATTTTTTAATACTTAATTTAGAGCCATTTAAAGCTCACAGCAAAATTGAGAGGAAGGTACACACTGTACCTACACATGCATAACCTCCCCCATTATCAGCATCTCCTATCAGAGTAGTATTTGTTACAATTGATGAACCTACTCAAAGTCCACAGATTACATTAAGGTTCATTAGGATTAGTGTTAATTCTTCTTTCAGTGTTTGGTAGAATTCTGTAGTGTGGTTATCTGTCTTTTCTCTAGTGCAGTCTACGCTTTTCTTTGGTGGGAGGTTTTGGATTACTAAATCTCCTTACTAGCTGGTTACTAGTCTGTACATATTTTCCATTTATTTATAATGTTCGAAGTTGTTTTTTTTTTTGAGACAGAGTTTTGCTCCGGTCACCCAGGTTAGAGTGTAATGGCATAATCTTGGCTCACTGTAACCTCTGTCTTCTGGGCTCAAGTGATTCTCCTGCCTCAGCCTCTGGAGTAGCTGGGATTACAGGCATGCATACCACACCCAGCTAATTTTGTGTTTTAAGTAGAGACAGAGTTTCACCATCTTGGCCAGGCTGATGTTGAACTCCTGACCTCAGGTGAACTGCCCACTTAGGCCTCCCAAAGTGCTGAGATTTCAGGTATGAGACATTGCACCTGGCCATGTTCAAAGCTTTAATAATATTTTTTTATTTCCATAGCATTGGTTATATAATATCCCCACTTTTTCTTTCGAGATGTAATCTCGCGCTGTCGCCCAGGCCTGAGTTCAGTGGCCAATCTCGGTTCACTGCAATCTCTGCCTCCTGGGTTCAAGCAGTTTGCCTGCCTCAGCCTCCTGAGTAGCTGGGATTACAGACATTTGCCACTATGCCCAGCTAATTTTGTATTTTTATTAGAGATAGGGTTTCACCATATTGGTCAGGCTGTTTAGAACTTACTCTGTCATCCAGACTGGAATGCAGTGGCACCATCATAGCTCATTGTAACCTTGAACTTGGCAAATGATCTTCCAGCTTCGGGCTCCTGAATAGGCTTCAGGCTGCACCATACCCTGCTAATTCAAAAACAGCCTGACCAGTATGGTGAAACCCCATCTCTAATAAAAATATAAAATTAGCTGGGCATAGTGGCAAATGCCTGTATGTAATCCCGGCTACTCAGGAGGCTGAGGCAGGAGAATTGCTTGAACCCAGGAGGCAGAGATTGCAGTGAACCAATATTGGGCTCATTAAAAAAAATTTTTTGTAGGAATGAATGTTCCTATGTTGCCCAGACTTGTCCTCCTCATTCATTAAGGTGTAACTTAAGCATTTCTTCTTGATTCTTCCCAGATTCAGTTGACTCGTGTGTGTGTGTGTGTGTGTGTGTGTGTGTGTGTGTGTGTGTGTGTGTTTCTTACTGTTTCTAAAAGTGGGTGTCTTCCTTACTAGGCAGCAAACTCCTCAAGAAAAGTATCTCTTCAGGTATTAACATAGTATCTGGCTCATAGTGAGAACTGAATAAATGTTTGTTGGAAATGAGTACCATTTCAATTGTAAACACGTATGATGTGTACCCCCTCCTTTTGTAGGTAATTACTTTAGGTTTTTGTATCCTCTTAGTCAGAATTATCTTATGTCATGGTCCTGGTTCCTGAAATTGAACAGGATAAAATTTTAGAACTAGCTAGATTTAGCATTCATCTCCCTGTGTTGTCAGACTCTTGGGGGAGTTCTGTTCTGTGGTTCTGTCAGAGTAGAGAGATGTGTTCTGTGATATTCCCACCAATCAATGAAAATGTAGCCAGGCGTGGTGGCTCACACCTGTAATCCAAGCACTTTGGAGGCCAAGGCGGGCAGATCACCTGAGGTCGCGAGTTCAAGACCAGCCTGACCAACATGGTGAAACCTTGTCTTTAATAATGATAATAATAATAATAATAAAGAAAGGAAGAAAAGAAAAGAAAATATAGATACTCCTTGTTGAAAATAGCTGAAGTTGAAAATGCATTTAATACTCTGATAAACCGATTACAAAGCTGAAAAATTGTTAAGTCCCAACATTGTTAAGTTGGGGATGTCTGTATTCTTTGTTTTTGAAGGTTTGCCCTGAGGTATTTCAAGGACACATTCCCAGTCTTTCAAAGACTCTTCCTAGAGAGTTCAGATGCTAATCCAGTCCGCTATGGACGTAGGAGGATGAAGCTCCGGGACCTAATGGAAGCAGCCTACAAGTTTCTGCAGCAGGAGCAGTCTGTGTTCCGGGAGCTCTGGGACTGGAGTGTGTGTGTCCCTCTCCTCAGAAGCCATGACACCTTGGTTCGCTGGTACGTAGCTGCTGGACTTTTTTGTACTTCTAGAGTGGAACTGGTACAGGGCATGTGTGGAGTTGTGTTTGTGAGGAGGGAAAGGAAACCATTTAAAATTTGTTATTTTTGTTCTTGTGGCTTTTGAGTTTTTATTTCCTTTCATTAATCACATGTTATTGCAGAGAAAATTAGATGATATGAGTGGATCTCACCTTTTTCATGTTCCATTAAGTAAATTTATTGTGCCTTATTTGTGTTTTCTGTTCCTAAATGTGTTATAATAATTGAGATTTCCTTTTCTAGTGTTCAGTTGGCTAGTAAATTTTATTTATTCTTTATAATCAGCTGCAGATAAACTGAATTTACACACTTTCTTTTTCCCCAGGTATACAGCCAATTGTCTTGCTTTGGTCACCTGTATGAATGAAGAGCAGAAGTTATCATTCCTTAAGAAGATGTTTAATAGTGATGAATTGATCCATTTCAGGTTGAGGTAAGCAGGAGCCTTCGTGGAGGTCTCACTATCTTGCTATAGCATTTCTTTTTTTTTTTTCTTTTCTGGGGGCGACAGGCCAGAGGTAACTGTGGGTCTTGCTATAGCGTTTCTGAGAAATAAGATAATTGATGAGATTCTCCTTTCTCTCAGGTTGTTAGAAGAGGCCCAGTTGCAGGACTTAGAGAAGGCTTTGGTTTTGGCCAATCCAGAAGCCTCCCTTTGGCGTAAGGAGAAGGAGCTGCAGTACTTACAGGGACACCTTGTTTCGTCTGACCTCTCCCCTAGGGTGACAGCTGTCTGTGGTGTGGTGCTGCCCGGGCAGCCACCAGCCTCTGGAGAGCCGGTATGTTGGCATCAGTAGAGGGTGTGTCCACTTCCTCCTGCTAAACACTTAATGTGCTCTGTCTTTGGCTGGGCTCTGTGTACCAGCTGTGAGCTAAATTTATTTTGTTAAATTGCTATTCCATTTTTGGAGTTATTCAGGGCGAAATTATGAGAAATTCATCTTGGGCTTTTCCCTTGATATTCCCATTGTTCCTGTTTTTATTTTTTATTAATTTTTTTAAGTTGTAGAGACAGGATCTCTCTATGTTGTCTGTGCTGGTTCGGACCTCCTGGTCTCAAGAGATCATCCCACTTTGCCTCCCAAAGTGTTGGGATTACAGGTGTGATCCACTGTACCCAGACTGTCCCTGTTTAATATGAAATTAAAAACTAATGTGCCTGTGTGATGCCTTTAACTTGAGCAGACCTCTTCCATATATCTTCTTGCTTGCTCACTGCAAAAACTATGTGAAGGTCTATAGCACATGTTATAATCCCATGTTGATGTAATTCAAAGGCAGAATTCCTTACTGGAGACTCTTGGACTGCTCTGTGGCTAAGATAGTCCTAGGTCTAGAGATAACTCCTAGCAGCCCCTTCTTTCAGAGTCTCATTGTATGAGAGTCCAGTATCTGTAGTATACCTCCTCTCTGCCGTATCCAACAAGTTTCTTTCCAAGAATGGCTCGAGATCATACTTAAACAGCCTTACAGATCATGAATCTGGCACTTTTGGAAGCCAGTCCCTTTTTCCATAGCAGTCTTCAGTCAGTTGCCACTTTGTCTGATGGTCTGATCCACCCACTTTTCTTCTTGGAATAAGTCCTGGGTCATTTCTTGAACCATGAGTTGCGCTCTGGTCAGTAGCATTAAAAAATACTTACAATATATGTATAGGAAAATGCTCATTGTTTTAAGTGTATAGTTGTATAATCGCTAACACCAAAATCCCAGACCTTCCAAAGCTCTTTGTGTTTTTTTCTAGTCATGAAGACCCATCCCCCTTCCCCTCTTTACACCTGCCATGTACCCTGTAACCAGTATCCTAATCTAGGTTATGTTTAGGGCATTAGGATTTTAACATAGGGAAGGATTCTTGTTAGAATGGGCCTGCTGTTGGCTGGCAGTGGGGACTCTGGTGCCGAAGTGCAGGGTAGAGTTGGGTGTAGCCTGCCTGCTAAATTTCTGAGAGGGATAGCCTTGAGGAAAGTTCAAGGCTTCCAGCTCTGAATTTCTTATTTAGTCCTCACATATCTTTAGGGAACCAGCCATATTTGAGAAATTACTACCCCTTAAAAGTTATAAATCATTCCACTTTTCAAGAGGTCTTCCCCCCATGTATCTTAGATGCATTGTTGTTATTTAACAAATTAAATTTTTTTTCTTTGAGCGGAGTTGTGCTCTTTTTGCCCAGGCTGGAGTGCAATGGCACAATCTTGGTTCATGGCAACTTCTGCCTCCTGGGCTCAAGTGATTCTCCTGCCTCAGCCTCCCAAGTAGCTGGGATTACAGATGTGCTCCACCATGCCCAGCTATTTTTGTATTTTAGTAGAAACAGGATTTCTCTGTGTTGGCCAGGCTGGTCTCGATCTCCCAACCTCAGGTGATCCGCCCGCCTCAGCCTCCCAAAATGCTGAGATTACAGGCGTGAGTGAGCTACCACACCTGGCTACAAATTAAAAAATTTTGATAACATAAATGTAACATTTACCATGCTAACATTTTTAACTTTACACATTAGTTCACACTGTTATTTAACCAATCTCTAGACTTTTTTTTTTTTTTTTTTTTTGGCATCCCAAAGCGTTAAGATTATAGGCGTGAGCCACCATGCCCGGCCTGCTTAACAACTTTTTTTTTTTTTTTTTTTTTGGCATCAGGGTCTCACTCGGGGTTACCTGGGGCTGGAGTGCAGTGGTGTGATCAAAGCTAACTGTAACTTCAAACTCCTGGGCTCAAGGGGTCCTTTCACCTCAGCTTCCTGAGTAGCTGAGATTACAGGTGTGTGCCACCAGGCCTGGCTAATTTTTAAATTTTTTGTACAGACAGTCTCACTGTGTTGCTCAGGCTAGTCTTAAACTCCTAGCCTCAAGCTGCCCTCCCTCCTCAGCCTCCTAAAGTGCTGGGATTACAGCTACAAGCCATCTTATCTGACTCAGAACGTTTTCATCTTGCAAAACTGAAATTCTATACTCATTAAACGTATCGGGTTCATTCTAATACTCTTTTTTACTTTTTGTTACGGAAAATGTCACACATATTTCAAAGTAGAAAGAATGGTGTAATGAATACCCATGGTGCTGGGTATTCAATAATTATCAATTACATTTCATTTATATTTCTGCACAACTTCCTCGCATTCTGTTACTTTGAAGCAAATACCAGGCATCATACTATTTTATATGAAAATATTTCAGTATATATCTCTAAAAGAAACAAACTTAAAAAATAACCCCAGTACTGTTATTATACCAAAAAAATAAAAAATTTATAATATAAAGTACTCTCTCAGTGTCTGTATTTTCCTGATTGTCTTATAAATGTATTGTGTGCATTTGTGATCTTAGATGGGAAATCCTATAATATGGGGAGGGGAAGAAAAGAAAAATCCGAAAGTAATAGATGAGGTTTGCTCTCCCCCACCCTTGTGGATCAGCTTTTTTTTTGGCTACTTAAACTTTGGGAGACTTTCTTAAATTTGCCAACAAATTCTGCTTCCCTACTTCCCATGGAATATTCCCCATCCCTCACCCCCAATAAAATGGAAAGGGAAAAAAAATCAGATCCTTGCTTTATTTTTACTTATTTATTTATTTTTGAGACGGAGTTTTGCTTTTGTCGCCCAGCTGGAATGCAGTGGCACTATCTTGGCTCACTGCAACCTCTGCTTTCTGAGTTCAAGTGATTCTCCAGCCTCAGCTTCCGGAGTAGCTGGGATTACAGGCACATGCCACTACGCCTAGCTAATTTTTTTTATTTTTAGTAGAGATGGGGTTTTGCCACATTGGCCAGGCTGGTCTGAAACTCCTGATTTCAGGTGATTCACCCGCCTTTGCTTCACAAAGTGCTGGGATTATAGGCGTGAGCCACTGCACCTGGTGCCTTGCTTTATTTTTAAAAATTCATTTATTTGTATTTAGAGTTGGGGTCTCTGTGTCACCCAGGCTGGAGTGCAGTGGTGTGATGATGGCTCACTATATCCTTGAACTCCTGGGATGAAATGATACTGCCATGTCAGCACTTCCAGTAGCTGACACTATGGACACGTGCCACTATGCCCAAGAGATCTTTACGTTAGATGACATACCTGTTATTATCGTTTTGGTACTACTAATTTACTTGCAAAGGTTTATGTAAGGTTAGAAGGCTTATAGAAATTAACTTGTGTCCTTCCTTGAGGGAAGGACTCTTCTTGACAAGGCTTTTGTTTCTCTCACTTGCTTCTTTAGATCGGTAATAGGAGTTCTTCACGTGAACAGGAGCTGGCACTTAGGTCTTATGTGCTGGTTGAGTCTGTCTGCAAAAACCTTCAGACCCTGGCTATGGCGGTTGCTTCTCAGAATGCTGTGTTGTTGGAAGGACCAATAGGATGTGGCAAAACTTCCTTAGTTGAATATTTAGCTGCAATAACAGGTAGAAGGAAGCCTCCTCAGCTTCTCAAAGTCCAGCTTGGAGATCAGACTGACAGTAAGGTAATAAGGAAATGTTCAGTTTTGGTGGCTTGTCATGCTTGTAAATATTTGCATTAAAATACTGCTTTTGGTAACGGAATATAAGAATAGTTACTGGTCTTGCTTATAATTGTTGAGGCCAACCTGTATAAACCTCTAGTGCCTATTTACTTAATACCTATCTATAGAAGATTAACAGTTAATCAAAGGTTGTAGCATTGCCACTACAGGTGTGATTTTTCAGTAATTTATCTTCTTTTTGCAGATGCTTTTGGGGATGTATCGCTGCACAGATGTTCCTGGAGAGTTTGTGTGGCAGCCTGGCACCCTGACACAGGCAGCCACAATGGGCCACTGGATCCTTCTGGAGGACATTGACTATGCCCCCTTAGACGTGGTATATTATCTCACAAAATCATTCTCCCTTAATATATTTTCCTGTCTTGGAAAAGCATTTTGTTAATAGTGATTCTGGTAATGGTCTAAACAAAAAAGGTATTTGATTAGACATACTATGTTGTAGGTACTTCGTGGTTACTTACCTGATCTGATTTGTGCTCCTGAATTAGTTGCCTAGTTTCTTGTTTGATAGAGGATCTATAAAATTTTGGTTGTGCTGTTTCCTATAGTAGTCGAATATGTGACCAGTTTCACAGTAGTTTTTTCCTCCTCTAATTGAATATGAGATCAACCTTTTCCAAGAATAGATCTGGTTTGGAACATCTCAACCATGTTGCAGATATATTGAGAAGTTTGAGATCCTGCTTCTTAGCTTGGCAGTTGCAGAGCAGAAGGCTGAGGACAAGTGAAGGAGGAGATGGTGTAGTAAGAGTGTACTTGCCTTTTGTTTCATTAAGAAAAATATGCTGGGTGTGTATTTTGGTTTGTAAAAGGACTACTTCTATATGTATGAAATTAGCTATTGAGACAATCCATGTTGCCTTTGTATTCTGAAAAGTGACAAAAAAATGTATTGCAGGAAGAAATAGTCTTTCTTTGGACAGATTTTTTTTCTGAGATTGGTTTTAATTTTCTTTTCGTTTTTCTTTTTTTTTTTTTTTTTGTGAGACAGAGTCTAGCTCTGTCAGCCAGGCTGGTGTGCAGTGGGGCACAATCTCGGCTCACTGCAGCCTCCATCTCCTGGGCTCAAGCAGTTCTGCCTCAGCCTCTTGAGTAGCTGGGATTACAGACATATGCCACCATGCCTGGCTAATTTTTGTATTTTTAGTAGAGACAGGATTTCACCACGTTGGCCAGGCCGGTCTCGAACTCCTGACCTCAGGTAATCTGTCCTAAAGTGGCGGGATTACAGGTGTGAGCGACCATGCCCAGCTGATTTTAATTTTCTTTTAGGGTGAACTCGCTCATATTAACCGTATATGGACTTTTCTCTCTTGAATATGAGAGAAAGAGAGTGTGTGTTTGTCTATGTGTGAATGTGTGTGTGTGTGAGAGAGTGTTTAGGGAGAGATGAAGGGGAAGGAGTAGCTGAAAATAAGTGTGTATGTTATATTAGTGTTTTTAGAGTGTGATGAGGTAAAGATGTTCTGGAGATATTGGCCCAGAGAGGGCCTCACAGTTTGATCAACTGTGTTTTGGTGTCTTAATGTTCACTTTTACAGAACTGGAAACTCAGTTTTCTTAAGTTTTCTTAAGCCCAGAGCCAGGGCTGACTCCTACCAATGAGACTTAAAAATAAAACTGAGATGTAAACTACAAGGCAGTTTAAAAATATTTGTTAAGTTTTTTCCTTTTTGGTGCCCTTCCTGGGCAGTTTTTTTTTTTTTTTTTTTTTTAAATCAGATATCAGGTTATCTGGGAAGTCATTAGCTTTACTTACTTATTTATTTTTATAATTATTATTATTTTTTTTTTGAGACGGAGTTTTGCTCTTGTTGCCCAGCCTGCAGTGCAACAGCATGATCTTGGTTCACTGCAACCTCTGCCTCCCAATTCAAGCGACTCTCCGTGTTAGGCAGGCTGGTCTCAAACTCCCAACCCCAGGTGATCTGCCCACTTTGGCCTCCCAAAGTGCTGGGATAACAGGCATGAGCCACCGCTCCCAGCCAATTTTTACTTTTTTTTTTGAGACAGAATCTTGCTCTTGTCGCCCAGCCTGGCATGCAGTGGTGTGATCTTGGCTTACTGCAACCTCTGCATCTTGGATTCAAGCAATCCTCCCGCCGCAGCCTCCCTAGTAACTGGGATTACAAGCATGCACCACTATACCCAGCGAATTTTTGTATTTCTTTTAGTAGAGGCGAGGTTTCACCATTAGGTCTATGGATGTGTGTGCACATTGTGTGGATTATACAGATGTTCTTACTATTTTGTTTTTTTCAGAACTTCTTAGCTCATAATTGGCCCATTATCATTTTAAAGTAGCTTTTACAGACCTCATTCAGGATAATTTTCTTTAGGTTCAAGTTTTCTTTTTTCTTTTTTTTGAGACGGAGTTTCGCTCTCGTTACCCAGGCTGGAGTGCAATGGCGCGATCTCGGCTCACCGCAACCTCCGCCTCCTGGGTTCAGGCAATTCTTCTGCCTCAGCCTCCTGAGTAGCTGGGATTACAGGCACACGCCACCATGCCCAGCTAATTTTTTGTAGTTTTAGTAGAGACGGGGTTTCCCCATGTTGACCAGGATGGTCTCGATCTCTTGACCTTGTGATCCACCCGCCTCGGCCTCCCAAAGTGCTGGGATTACAGGCTTGAGCCACCGCACCCGGCCCTAGGTTCAAGTTTTCAATATGTTGGAATTGCTTCTATATTATTTTGGGCTTCTCTTTCAGCTCCTAGCCATGTATGAAATAATGATGCTTAAAAAATTATGTCTGATATTTTAGAACCCTCTTCCTTGGCTCTCTGCTCTTCTCACCTTTTTTTTCCTTTCGAAACTTCCTTTATAAACTCACAACTCCTAGATCCATATGTCTAGTCCACACTTTTTTTTGTTATTTAGTTTTTATTTCATAATCATAAACTTAACTCTGCTATCCAAGTAGATGTAGAAGGGAATAAGGAAAATATGGAACACAGAATGTGGAACTGCAGTGAGAGCACGAAGATTATGTAAGGATACTGCAACCAAATGGAGTGGAGGGGGTGCTCTTGTAAGCTGTAGAAGGAATGGTTCTAGTGGTTAAGAGACGACACAAGTCTTTTTTTTTTTTTTTTTTTTTTGAGGCGAAGTCTTACTGCAGTGCAGTGGTGTGATCTTGGCTTACTGCAGCCTCTGCCTCCCACCCTTGGTGATTCTCCTGCTTTAGCCTCCCAGTAGCTGGGACTACAAGTGTGTGCCACCACACCTGGCTAGGTTTTGTATTTTTAGTAGAGACAGGTTTTCACCATGTTTGCCAGGCTCATCTTAAACTCCTGACCTCAGGAGATCTGCCCACCTCGGCCTCCCAAAGTGCTGGGATTACAGGCATGAGCCACTGCACCTGGCCTCACAAGTCAAATTTATTAGAGTTGCCTACAGTCAGCAGTGATCTTATTGGCCTTGCTGTTCCTGGACCGAAAATGCTCCATGGCCTCCATAATATTCATGCCTTCTTTCACCTTGCTGAAGACCACATGCTTGCCATCCAACCACAGAGTCTTGACACTACAGATGAAAAACTAGGAACCTTAGGCCGGGCGCTGTGACTCACGCCTATAATCCCAGCACTTTGGGAGGCCGAGG